AAAGCATTTTAACAGTCTTATCAACATGATGGAGAAATTTGGCTTGTTATGCCCTTGGCCGTCGTCCGATGAGAATGGGTCACCCAGTGAGTATCTTGTACCTTTCATGTTGATGTTCCCACCAAAGAATGTAACAGATTTGTTTTCATCTGCGGGTATTCCATCCCTTTTTGTGAAGTTTAAATCTGGTCAAGTGCCAATAGGACTCTTTCCTCGCTTAGTACTGATGGTCATGCAATGGTGCACGAGGGAAGGTCACAACCAAGGACACCCTCAACTGTATCACAATTTTGTCAGGTTTTACACTCACCCAGCAAAAGCCATCTCTCTGATCCTTCTCAGCCGTTCCTCTTCCATTGAGGTTGTTGTTCACCGAGGAAAAACGATGTCCGAGGTTTCCAAGAATGAAGGGAGGAATCTGCCATCTGTATTCAGCCACGACACCTCTCAAATAGAGTTTGCGCATACTGTGTGTCGACAACTCGGACTAATTCTGGAATGCATGCGGAAGGAGTTTCATTGGTTAAAGAACATGGCTTACGAGATGTCAGTTTGCTGTCCGATCTGTTGCACGGGAAAGGCGGTCGAACATTGTGAAAAGCATCGCGTAAGTAAATGTAAGGAAGAAGAATGCTTTCACTTCTGGTCGGAGTCACAGTTGCGCAATTGTCAAAGGCCCCTTGTATGCACCAAGCCTGCGGCTGCTGGAGATTACAGGGTTCCACTCGAGCACTTCGCAACATGGTTTCCATTTTTGAACAAACAGGTGACTTGCTGTCTGTAGAGGTATTCTATAAAAGTTACCTATTTCCATATCAATTTTGTGCTTAGCATATCGAATGCTTTCTGATAGTGATTTTCAGGCAATACGTTCATACTTTTTCGTCAATGTCATACAGGTGCAACTTTTATTTTGCTCTCTGTCGATCCCATCGTAGTGAGGGAAGTAGGGTAGGGTTCTGTTAAACTTGAAGAATAAGACTGTGCGCTCACGCAACCCCGGAATGCGAGAGAAAAACAATACAGTAACTATCAAAAACAAAAACCAAATAACAACACAACTATTAGGATCAAGGCTTTAGAGAAAAAGGTGAATGAAACACAGGCATCAATAACTGTGATCAGCCACCTTAAACGATATAAATTGCTGTCAAACCATATTTAAAATGAAATCTTGAGTCTTTAATTCGAGGAGGCCTTGGAATAGTATAATTTGGGTTTATCATCTGATTTGATATTTTGAACGTTAGGCTTTATCGGAGTGGAAGGGCTAAATGTCAGCTTTGGAATCCCTTAACGGAGGCAAAGTCATATCACCTTGTACTACAACCTCCCCTTCATCGAGCCGCGCCACGGTTACTTTAAAAAATAACCCCCTTTTAAAAAAAATTCCGCTTTTATCACTTTGCAAAAGAGTCCTCTTTGTTCTAGAAGAGTGCCTTTTCCTTTGTCAAGTTGGGGCGTCAATTTAGAATGTTCCAGAATATTCTGACGCATCCTTCAATCTCCGCTCTAGTGATCGAGTAGTATATCTGATGAGGAAGGACATAAAATATTTTCATTTGATCCGTATTTTACGCAGCCAAAGTTTTAGCAATTCCGATGGTGAGACCGAGAAATCCTTCTCGTGGGAAAAGGACGGAGGCGTGATCATGAACAAGGTAATTATAACGGATTGCTCTGTCATGAAACATGTTTGTTGAGTGTTATGGAGAGCTCGTAACAATATTTGTCGTCATGTCTTCCTGCACATTATGCTTCTCATCAAACGTTAGAATAAGGATAGTAATTAAGCTGTTAAGGGAAAAGAGTGTCAAGGTTTCCTCCGAATATTCTTACCTGTCACGTCTAAAGAAATATAACATTAAGTAAAGTTAAGGTAATGTTTCCTAGGATAACGGTTATGAAACAAGTTCTTTATCTGCATGAATTCGGGCTTTCCATGATGTATCAGACCGTTAAACGGAAGACAACGCAAAAGAGATGCAGTAAATGCTTTCATTACGAGTAAAACAGTCTTTTGTAGAGAACGTAATATAAATTTATGTTTTGTAAACTTCGTTTTTACAATTCAGTAAAATCAGGTGTAAGATGGAAAAACCTCACGTGGACGCGAAGGAACAAAACTAAGGATTGCCAAGTTTATGTCAAATTGGATGTTCATTAACCAGATTTTGCATTGTTTTGGCACTCTCCAAAGTCTGCTTCATAGATAAGAGGGGAAAAGATCAGCCTATTAAATAAATTCCGTTTTAACTAGTCTCTTCTTCATTGCAACACGTGTAATGGAAGGTGAAGGAAAGACCAAAATGAAGACTTAATGGGTTAAAGAATATGTGATTGGTATTTCTTTTGAAATGCATGCCCAAGTTAAAAAAGTGATTCAAGTTGTTCCCAGGGGCAGATCCGGCAATTTTTAACAAAACAGGAAACACAGAACTTTAATTTACCATTTTTCTTCTAGAGTCTAAATTTGGAATGAAATGCTTCAAGATATTAAATTTCGAGTACTTCAAGTTGAGTAGTGAATATGCAATCCTGTTGTTAGCTTCGCAGCTCGGATAAATACCTAGTACTAGCCACTGACACGGAGCTGAGAAGTTGTTAATCATTTGGGATGTTTTCAGACTCAAATAATTTAGTTTGATTTTTCTTATTTCAACTTATTTTCTTCATTCACTTTCAGCTTCAACCCCCGAGAATTCCTTCCTTTCCGGTTAATTTCCCTTCCTTTCCCTTCCTTTCCCTTCCTTTCCCTTCCTTTCCCTTCCCTTCCCTTCTCTTCCCTTCCCTTCCCTTCCCTTCCCTTCCTTTTCCTTCACTTTCCTTCCCTTCCCTTCCCCTTTTCGTAATGTATTTCTCTCGGTTTGACTTCTTCAGATTTCAGTCACGCCACGCATAAGTTAAAAAGGAGGAGAATGGGTTCTAGTTTCGATTCGTGACAGCTTGGGGCGTCGATCTTGAGTGTTCCGGAATGTTCAGACGCATCCATCGTTTTCCGCTCTAGAGATCAAGTAGTATATCGAGTAACGACATTAGATTTTTTGATTTAATCCGTGTATTACGAAGCTAAAGTTTGAGCAATACCGATGAACAGACTGAGAAAACTTTTCAGTGGGAAAAGACGGAGGCGTTATCATGAACAAGGTAATTATAACAGATTACTCTGACACGAAAGAAGCCTGTGTCAAGAAGAACTCGTCGCATGCAATATTCTGCAATATTCATCGTTATGTCTTCCTGAGTCTTTCTTATGTATTACGCAGACTATCAAGTGTGCTATCTTCTTGCAGAATTCGGCTGGTGATTATACTTATAAGGGTTTAATTTAAGAATGTCAAAGTTTGCTTTGAATGTTTTGTTCTGTCACAACTAACTTAAATTAATGTTGGATTCCCGTGGATGTAGACTCAAATTATAAGAACTCTTGAATCGCATCGATCGAAACTGTAACGAATCCTTTACCGTTCGGTACTACCAACGCTTTTGATCAAGTGTTCCACGTAGTCTGTAAACGTATAGTTCATTCAGTTTCCACGTGAACGTGGGTAAGAGTGAAAGGTGAGTCATGTTGAACACAGGCAAGAGCCTAAAATTTATAACGTTACGCACTAGTGGGTTTAATTTAAAGGCAAAAACCACGGCTTACAGTCTATTGCGAAGAAAAATGACTTCAAACAAAACGAACTATTCAAAATGATTTTCAAAACTTTCGTAAGTCCGGGCCATTCCTCCGAGACTCTTATACCTATCTGTTGTAGTGTGTAGTGGGAAGCATGAGATTTCATATCGCGAACCTAAACGAACGACCGTTGTCATCGGGTTTGTTAACATTGCAAACTATAATGATTTCAGAGCTGTTTCTCCATTAAACTTTATCCGAATTCATCTTGTGGAGTGGAAAACAGGAAATAATACCGATGAAAGTAGTATTTATCCGAGAACTGAAAGAAATTGCTTGCTCAATTTTAAATTTAATGTTAAAGGGGAATTAAAGCCTAAAATTGGACCATTTTTAGATTGCAACACATAGCTTAACTATCAATGTTTGAAAATTTTTTTCAGTCTTTGGGCTCAACTTCGCCTTGAAAAAATGGTTTTATACCGTGTTTTTACCCAATAGCACCGTGGCTCAGAAAAAGGATGTCAACGGTTAATATTACGACTCTGGTGGGGAAGAAAGATCAGAACCGTGAGACGCTCTTCCTTCAAAACTCGCGTGTAGTAGGATTGTCGAAGTTGAGTGACTTCTTATGGAGATGAATTCCAAAATTGAATAATAAAACATGTTTGTTACAGAAATTGTGTGGTTTCAGGCTGGGTTTGGATGCGCTGGGGATGTCATAAATCGATCGCTGAACATTTCTGTATTGTATATTTCGCCGTTCTTTAACTTTGCATAAACGGTTTTATATGGTCGCCCACGCTCTATTCATTTTACCCAGTTATCACGTTTTAAATATTCAATACTTTCATACACGAAATTTATTTCCAAACCTCATCCGTTTAGTAGTCTGCGGGCGAGAGATCGATGGCGAAACTCAGCCCGGCTGTACAAAATCCCGAGCTCAGTTTAGTTAGTCATAAATCACATAATTAGCTGTCTCGTTTGCGTTTTTAGAGAGGTGTGTTTCCGCGTATGGTTTGTCTATATACTTCTTAGGAAACACAGTGTGAACATTTTCGTGGCATAGTATTAATTTCATTTTGAAAGAGAACTGGTTTT